CAAATCAGGAATTTGTCACGCGGAACCGCTTTTAAACGAGTGGTTTCAGAAGTCGCGGGCATCTCGTCTGATAACGCTTTTAAATTTTCGTTAGCGCCACGCTGCCCTCGTCTAAACGACGTAAAGTAAGAAAAACGGTCACACGCTAGACGTTTCCCCCGCTTCCATTCCCCAACTCCCTATATTTATATCGCCCGTTCCATCGTGATCTCCTCGAATGGAGCGAGATCCACAGACGTCTATGAACCGTCCCAACCTCGAGTGGATTTTCGCGAACAAATGTCCCTAGAATTATCCAATGTTGCTCTCTATTGTAACTGTATAAAGGAGTTACCGAGTCACGATGATGCTCCACGAAGTGAAAGTTATAAGAGGAATTCCTGCCGTGAGACGAATTTTCTGTCTAGAAAACTCGTGAAAATAGATTCGAAATAATCGATAGAGAGTAATAATACTTAGAAATATCTTTGTAAATTTTATACATAAATTTATCAAACTTGATTTCTTTGAATAATAACAATATATAAAATGCAATTCTTTTCCGTTAATCCACGTTAAAAATTATTCGAGGATAATTAATACCAATTGCTATATATTTACCAAATGTTAAGGAAGAGATATATATACGTAATAGTTAAAAATAATTGGAGAAGAATTGCCATTATCTGTCCTAATTTCCCCCCATTAACAACCAGAAGCAAAACCGTTCTTTATTTTCCCTATATACCTTCTATTTGCCCAGCAGCATGAAATATGCAAATCTCGCACGGTGAACCGAGCGCAGATATATAACCGGCCAATATTAACAGATACCTATCGCGATTATTGGACGGGAATCGAAAACGATAAAGCACGATACACCCACCAACGTATCCATTCCGCGCACATACACGCACACCGTGGGCAAACAATAATTACAGAGAGTGGTGGAGCCTTGGACAAGCCCGAGAAAATTCCGATATAATCTCCAGAACGTGCGCGCACACACAAATACTTCCATCCTTAACTCTTGCTTGCTCTTTCTTTTATATTTCTTCTCTGTTCGCAACACCACCATCGTCGCGCAAGATGGCCGGTTCCTTCGTTGTACCTCGTTCCCTCGTTTTATATTATTAAGTTTCTAACGTACTGAAAAGAGGCGAGTAAATGCGGTGCCGGGGTTGGGGGACACAGGATAACACGAAGCAACGCTAATATTGCCGAGAATCTTGCCAAATAGTCGCAATAAGCGTCCCCCGGTTTCGGTCGTGGCTTCTTGCGACACCGCATCCTGATATGTTCCAGCAGAGGGGCCGGATGGTGGCGAGCAAATCCTGCTTTCCTCCTTCCGAGTGATTATCAAACCCTACCCCCTCGGCTCCAGAGGTTAATCGAGCCACCGCGAGGGGAAGAAATTTCGGCTTCATTGCCCGTCGAGAAACTCCTTTTCGCTCTATCGTGCACTCGCGATAAAGTCGGCTCGCAGATTATTTTCTTCTCTCCCGTTTCGAGGATGTGATTTTCTTTTATTATTTTCCTTCTTTCTTATCAAAAAAAAAAAAAAAACANTCAAACCCTACCCCCTCGGCTCCAGAGGTTAATCGAGCCACCGCGAGGGGAAGAAATTTCGGCTTCATTGCCCGTCGAGAAACTCCTTTTCGCTCTATCGTGCACTCGCGATAAAGTCGGCTCGCAGATTATTTTCTTCTCTCCCGTTTCGAGGATGTGATTTTCTTTTATTATTTTCCTTCTTTCTTATCAAAAAAAAAACAGAGAAAGAAAGGAAAAAAGAAGAGAAATCTCGTTATATCTCGCGAAATATTATCGAGAAGTATGTCGATATCGTTATTGAGAATGTTTGGTGGTTGAAAGTGTCGATGGAACCGATGAAATTTATACCTGATATTTCGAGGTAACGCGAAATTCATGTTAATCGTGTATATATATATATATATATATATATGGCGTGGGAATTAATCCGATTGCATTTTGAGCAACGTTATTTCATTTTATTTTACGAATCATGTAATTGGTAATTTATTCTTAATTGGTTTCTTTAGTTTGTTACTCTCCTTTCGATCGATTTAATCGTAAAAATATTACGTATCTTTCTAGCCAATGTATAAATGTACGTGTAATAACTTCTATATTAAAATAGATTTGTTTATCTTTGCGAGAATATACTCGAGATCGACTATCTCGCGGATATCTACTCTTACTTATCACTTTTGAATTATAACGTTGGAAAGTTAAATATTAGTCGTAAATTATTCGACAAAGCCGCTTGTGTAAGCACACCTGATGAAACAAATCTAAATACTACACAAATATAATATATTTACAATACAAAAACATTTATCATATTGAGAAGAAGCTTCGAACGATTCTGAATATCAACATCTACATCTACTAGGAAAATGATTCATCAAAAATAAACATAATACTCCTCTTGAATGTATGATATAAATATCATAAATATCATTTTAATGCATACTAGAGATAAGTACTAAAGATTATTAATATGAAATAATATCGTTCGTCTATATTATTTCCTAATAATTAAATTTATTTCTTTCCTTCTACAAATTTCACAAATGAAGTAATTCCAATCCAAAAAAAAAAATAATAATAATAACTCTTGCAATCGTTAACTTTCAGTGACGAAGAACAACGTTTCCCAATTTAATATTCCTCTTCGAAACGAGCAAACGACATTCGTGATATATACGTTTATACATTTCGTAATATGCTCGTAATAAGCTCGTTATATCAGGATTTAATAACTTTGTCACGATCGAAATTACCGATGCATTCAATTCAATATCATAGTTTCGCGTCTTCCGATATCTTCTCCCGTGTCCACAGCTCGCAGTATAAAGTGTTCTTTTGTTCCCCGGAACTGAGCGATATTGCGGAAATAATCGAACGAGCGGAACGAGGTTTCGAGCGAGCAGCGCTCGTAAATAGATAGAGTGTCAGAAAGTTTATTGAATCAGAGCCACGGTTTTCGGATTAATCCTGCGGTTCGGTGAGACGAGGCTCGTCGCGGCATTGCGGCGTCGACGGGAATTAAAATGCTCACCGAGAATTGCTCCAACGATTTCGCCGATCTCCTCGATATACACGAGGAAGATCGGTCGAATTACCGTTGTAAATACTTTATGGAAAACGATTTGCTTGATGCTTTCCGTATAATTTCGATATAGACGTCGTCGTTGCAATTTCTGTTCGTGAATTGGTAATGGAGGAAATCTTTTATTATGTTCGTTTCTATATTTAATTTTTCTTCGTCCTTTTTTATTTTTTTTTTTTTTTTTGTATTACTTCAGTAACGATGGAAATAATTTCGATTGTTGTAATTTGACAGATCGAATCATTATGATTCTTTTTATATTTTTCTGTGCAAAAGAAAAAATAAAATAGAAAAAGGGACGATTTAATTATATTAAAAAAAATGAAAAATAGATAAACTATTTATATTCAATTGCTTGAAATCTTTAAAGTGAAATTATATGGAATATATTTCACTTCCTTCCTTTCCTTTTTTATTATTCTTCTCTAACTAATTTAAATCTGCAGCTTATTTCATTTTTATTCAACATTCTCTACATCGATGCAACAACAGCAATAACTCGATATCAAACGTAATCCAATGGAAATAATAACAAATCGTATTTCATATCTTTATTTTCGCTTCTTTTTTTTATTGCTTGTCTTTTTCTCGATAATTAACATTCAACGTCATTCTAACTGTCCAAGGAAGTGATAATCACGCGGTGATTTATTTCACAGGTTTTCGCGTGCCTGTAACCAGGCTTGAATATAACCACGAGATCACGGAATAAAAATAACCAGTCGAAAGAACCAGTGACAGAAAAGTTATTGGATCGTGTCTGCGATTTAATAGGATTATTGCAATGGCCAGTCGAAAGCTATCAGCTCACGGTGCGATGTCTCGAGGAGGCTCGAAATTAAACATCTCTATCTCACTCTATCTTTTTCCCTTTCCTTTTCTATTCCATTCCAATGTCGTGCTGGGTAACTTTTCTCCCCTGTTTTATATTGATTTCTATCGATTTCATCGCACAAAAGCAATCGATATTTTATATATTTTTCTCAGAATAAATCGGCTTTACACGAGAGAATATTTAAAATATTGCATTTTTAGGAAACTTCTTCTATTTCTATCATTTTGAGCGTTTTTTAATAAGATTCATAATTCCACTGATCGTATATTTAAAAAATATCCAAATTGCAGTAGATTAAAAGATATTAATTATATTAATCTATTATTTGTTGTATAAAAAATATATATAATAAATAATATATTCTGATGTAATAATTCTTTAAGCTTTCTTTATTTCTCCTGTTAATATAAACATGATTTATAATTTTTATCTAAATAGTTTCACATGCTAAAATTTGCGAAACTATATATAAATGATAATATGGAATTTTTTATTTCAAAGCATCATTCTTGCTTCTTAATAATTACAACTTTAATGTCAATTTTTTAAAAATTTTGATAAATATCAACAATTAGTTTATTAATTAATTATACAAATAATAAGGATAAAATAAATGCAATTAATCTGTCGTATCTGTCGTACATGCATTTAATATCACGTATTCTTATTGTAACTATGCTTAAATCCTTATAACGAAATTCCAAATAATTTCAATATTCCTTTCTCTTCTTATTTTTACTTGCAAATTATGCTTCCTATAGTTCTTCACGAAAGTAGACGGAGAACAAAGAGACAAGTTACACATTTTATACGATTATATCACATATTTCGAATAGAATACATTTATTTCCCTTGTAAAGTTAATATACATTTCCTCCAATATTTTAGCATATATTTAAGATTCAAGACGATCCGTAGACTGTTCAACATGCGACTACAAGGAATATATATATATATATATAGAAATTCAAAGTTCTTTGAAAATATTGTAAAGGAAGACGCATTGTAATGTAGGAAGTATTACATAGAACCTATAATGCATCCCAAGTCGCTCGATAATCCTCAAATAAGGAATCAAAGTGTACCGGTTACATTGGTAATCCAATCTTTCACTTCCGCTATGGCTGTGAAAACGGTTGGATACTGCCATTCACAAGATCGACTCCAAGAGGTAATACCTACAACATCGTCCATGATTGTTATAATTATCCACCTTTCAACAATGATTTATCGTGAATATATCGAGTCCTCTAATTTTTCTATTTGATACTAATGAAAAATCACGAATAATTTTACTACTAATAACTTCTTTTACAATTCTTGCACTCTTTTAATTACTTCAAACTTTTGATCATTAATTCACAGAATTAAAAATTTAGAATCACTAACTATTTATAATATTTTCAGATAATCTTTCGAATGACAAGCGATCGATAATAAATTTTTATATAATTATAATTAATTTCTAAAGTTTTTATAGTATGATATATATAAATGAGAGAACGAGAGAAATAAAATTTTAATGAATAATTAAAATTTCACCGAATAACGCGCCCTGAAAAATAAGAGGCGATCCGGAATCCCCGATGCAGGGTCTAGCATAGGTGTCCGATAAGGCGCAAAACATCCTGTTTGTTAATAAGTCACCATCGCTTGCTTCCTCGCAATCCCGGTTATTAATTTTCCGCATCGTGGTGTATAAAAGTTCGTTCGAGATTGGACCTAATAACTGTGATAAACTGTGATAAATAATCGTGTTTGGTGTATGCGAAACCTAGCTCTACCCGAAATATCTTCGCGCAGGTTCTTACCCTGGATGCACCCCAGCCGAGAACCAGAACCAGGGAATCGTCGTCTATCATCGAATGCGTTTTAGGCAATTTGATGGGTTGTTTCGTGTTGTCGTACGTTATCCTGTCGGAGAGCTGCGGCCGATGTCAGAAGAAATATTACCGTATACGTTACGACAAATAATAAATAGTGAATCTAATCGATCGATTTATTTATAGGCGAGATGGAACAAATATTTCGCGCGTTATGTAATTTCTTTTATTCCTGTTTGAGATTAAGGTTTATTTGAAATCGATCAATTTCACCTTTTTTGATCGTAGTAATAGTAGAAGAAAATTAAAAAGATAGATTAGAGAATTATAAATAATTTGATGGATATGAAATAATTTGATGAATATTTTACGACGGATTTTGATTTTTTAATTTTTTAAAATGTCTGTTAAACGATATTAAGTATCATTTCTTGATATTTAGTAAATTAAATTGAAAAATTGAATTAACGAACGCAAATAGAATAATTTATCAGCAATTGATAAATAGTATTTTTAATTTTTCTTTTTGACAATAATTAATGAAATATTTTTGCAACAGAGATATCAAAAGAAGAATTGTACTTGATACAAAAATTTATATTTAGCAGAAATTTAAGAATTCATGATAGAAAAAAGTGAATTACGAAATAAGAAATCCCTGATGACAAATATTGACAAATATCGAACGAATGTCAAAATATATATTTTCTTGCTGAAAAAAAAAATACGACAAATATTGGATTTGACGAATATAGAAGCGAACAGAAAATATATAAATTTCACTTGTATCACAGAACATAGTTGCATTTCCACATTACGTATTTATCATAACATTTGCATATTATAATTATATTCGAGCATGAAATATATAGAATCTATCAAAAAACAAAAAAAAAAAACTTTACTTCATTAGAAAAAAATATAAAAAATACTTTTTTGCAAACATCCAAAAGCTAGACACTTATACACTTTTCCGAAAATGCGTAGCTCCGTTTATTAATTAAACCTTTCGGTGTTTTCAACGATCGTCTCGAGAACTTCACGACAATTGCGACAGGCCACTAAATGCTCTCTCTCTCTCTGAAGCAGACAGACACGCACGGTAACGAGACAAGCGAGAACGTATTACCTCAACGAGGCCGACGTCGTAGTCGTAATTAATTGCGTTAAAGGCGGGATGAATCGCGACGCTTTGGACACCATAATTGTCACCGCCCTCGTAATAACGCGACGTGCCCGCCCTCACGTGGAACGGCTTCGCTTGTACGCTGCAAAAAGAACGACAAAAAAAAAAAAAATACGCAATCGAGATACGTACACAAATCGCGTGTACACGGAGATTGTTCAAACACGATGCATTAATCTTGCCTGAGAGCGCACTGCGCCGATGTTATTATCCACTTTTCCCCGACGATACCACCGCCGCAGAAATGCTCGACTTGGTGACCGAAAAACGTTCCATTGTTCTGCAACGAAACCTGGGACGAGAGGCAACGATTTTCCAAATGTCAAATCGACCGTGAAGATCGATCGCACGTTATACTAACCACAAATGGATATTCCTCTATGGAGGCCGACTCCCCTCCGATAATCCTGGATCCTACGAGTCCCGGAAATCTAGCTGACTTCGAGACGATTCTTTCTCGATAATCGGCTGTGCGACATTCAAATCAGGCGAATCGTTTAATGCGGTTCCCTCTTGATATCGATCGATTAATGAAATTAACTTTATCCGTCCTCTCTCACTCTCTCTTAATTTTATTGATCGCGGGAGGAGTAAGTTTGGACAACGAGTTGAAAAGTGTTTTTTTCTTCTTTTTTCTTTTTTTTAGTGGAGAATTCGAGAAATAAAATAATGGATGAACTGTTTTCGAAAAAAAAAAAAAAAAAAATTGCCTCTCTCCTCTGGTCGGTGGTAAAATTAAACGTGGAAAAATTAGTTTCTGAATCAAATGAATTTTATACGTGCCGCGAGGGATTTAAAGCTGTTATTTTTCTTTCTTTTAACACATTTTCAAATATATTTTTTAATTTTCCATTCTTATCTTTGTTAATTATAACGCTTTTTCTTCTTTGTGAAATTTATATTAAATGATTGTTACGTATTTCAATATAATCGATATAGTCAAACGCGTTAATTTACCATAATTTACCACATTCCTACATCTACGTTTATAATAATTTTCAATTTTCTATTTTATACAGGATGTCCCATTTGATTTTGATACCTTGATTTTCTGAATAATAATAATTTTTAAGTACATATTAATATTTTTTTTTTTATAGAGAATATCGATTGATGTATCAAGAAATATATGTATACATAATTCCACTCAAGAATAATAATAATACCATAATATCTTATCTATCTTCTCCTCAACTTTTTACCAAAGTAATAATATTGAGAAAATTAACACGTCAAAATCAGGCGAGACATTCTGTACACCATAAATGTATATTTAATACATTTAATCACAAAACAAGGTCTTACTTGAACCATGGCGGGAAACCGCGCAAAGTATGGATGAACTGGAGAGCACCAAGAACAGCAATGCTTGCATCGTGGCCACGTTTGAGGTCATCGAGGGAACCGGGTGTTCTTTATAAACCCGCAAAACACGTAATTTCTGCATAAACAATTTGTCGGCGGGATTACTGCCACTATCTTTCTCTCTTCCACTTATCGGCAAGATGCTAATGCTTTTAAGGCTATGACATTAAGGGCTAAATCGTCTCTCGTATATAAATATATTTTCAACTGTGCGCCGTACAGTTGGAAAATGGCTCAAGATATTAAGATAAAGTCGGAAAGCAATTAAGTGGCCAGCGTGTCGCAACAGAGTCATAAATTGAACGCTTCCTTAGAATTTAGCTTAATAAAATTCAAAATACGAAATAATGCATATAATTCGCTTAATCTAATTACCCTTTAAGCCCTGAATTATGTAGCTGATATATATATATGTAGTTATATCTTATCCTTCTTATTATAAAACTAAACGTATATTTGATATCGCAACGGTACGTGATAGAAGACTTTAAGAAGACGATATATAACTTTCTTCTAATCTGAGAATGTTTAATTAAACGAAAGAATAATTAAACATTGATTAAAATAACAGTAATAAAATAATATGTGGTGTAAATAAGAATAATAATGCAATATAGATAAGTAGGGAAATACAAATATTAAACAATAATAATAAAAGAATTAAACAAGTGTATATAATCTTTCTCTCTGTTTTAAATTTTCATCTACCTTGTTTCATTTGCTCCACGAGTTTCGATGAAACTCGTTCAAACGAAGAGAGAATGTTATCAATGGTGCCGAGAATCGTTATTAATATCAATATCACGTTGAGAGAATCATTTCGCCTATACCATCGACGATTATTCATCGTGGAGCTAATTGACCTGTGCAAATATCGAGTTAATGCACGATCCACTGCCTCCATAAATACGTAACGCCCCTGTAATTTCATCCCCCTCGTTCTTTCTCTCTCTCTCTCTCTCTTTCTCTAACTCTGTCCTTCTTCTTCTTCTCCTTTTTTTTTTATCAGGAAGCATCGAATTAATTATCCAATGGACGCTATTATATCCCCCAAAAGTAATTTCAATTACACGTCACGGTGCGCACGATGTCGTAAAACGAATCGTTAACAAGAGACAAACATCGGCCTGCCAACGACAGAACTGGAACGAATGAATCCGCGCTTGTGCCTCTCGCGTCAACGAATATCAAATAACGCGAATATTTATTATTAAATTAACATATATCTGGCCCGAGTTGGAAATTTGTCGCCGATCCACGTTCGAATCCACTTGTCCTCGAATATAAATTAATTCGTTGGCTCATTGTTTCTCGATGCTCTTATTAACCGTCCTTTCAATTGTAATTGATGGATCGATACGAAATCACTACGTTGTCGATTTATTATAATCGTTCTCAAAATATCGTTTCGAATCTATACTCGTCATTCAATCCCATCTTTCGTTTATTCGCGAATGCAGCAACGCGAATTTTCAACCGAACACGATCGTGGAGTATTTTGCTTGGAGCGATTTTCGAGCGAATTATTATTTTATTATTTTAATTTCAATCTCTCATATATGTCTCATATACACGAAATATTTACGTTCGAAGAAAATATTTTAAACTGATTAATGTGTTTGTGGTTTATATCGCGTTTGTTATTTATGCTTTGCAATTAATTTATTCGATTTTAATTTATTCCATAATGAGTAATTTGTGATCATAAATACATAAGAACAAAGATGATTGTTTTAATTAAAAGCCTTTCTGAAAATAGAAGTAAATGAATTAATATTAAGTTCTGGTACATTATATTTAAAAAAAATATATCATACTGAAAGAATTAATTCGAATATTGGAGATTGTTCGACGGAAAAAAATATTATATCATAGATTTCTTAATTTTAAAGATATTATCATATCGATCTTTATAATTAAAAAATGAGGAGAAACGATATAGAAGACTGATATATCCTCAGTGATACAAACGTGTATCGTTATTATTTCTAATCTAATTTAATCTAAACTTTATCCCAACCTATCGATACTATTCGCTTGGAAAATATTCTATATTTAATGATTAATAACATTTTAACATGAATAACAAGCAACGAAATTAAAATCTCTTAAAGATTACTCAACATTCTTGATAATATATATAAAAATCTAGAAGAATAACTTCTTATAATCTATTGCAACTATTTGGAACTACAAAAAGAATCATATTTCAATTATAATTCCCTTCACGAATAATATACTGCGTAGCATAAAAAGAAACAAAAATCCTATCAAACTGATCTTTATTGATCAACCTTCTTTCCACCGTGTTATCAATGAATCATTAATAATATTCGTGGAAAATGAAACATAGAGAGTTTTATCAGTTTTATAAACAATCGAATGAGGAAAAATGGCGGATACAAAACTCAATGTAATTGCCACTATTGAAACCACCCCCGAAACGAACACGGATCCTCTCGTACAGCAATTTAACCACGATTTATCGATGCTCCCTCTCGATGAGACAAAATTATCATAACGATTTTCGTAACACGTTGGTGTATTTCACCATTATTAATTCCAACTGGGTCCCTTCTATTCATCTGGCCACCCAATTCGATTGAAAATATTTCAATGTGGGACGCGAAAACGCTCGAATTTCTGCGAAATGTGCATTCGTAATCCGGCGTAGACGTGAATCCGCCATAAATTTGGATAAACGTCGCTCTCCCTCTCCCTGTCTATCGTTCACCGTAATTTCAATAATCGTATCACTTCGATACGATGTACACAGCTTTCTCTTCCTTTTTTTTTCTTCCTCTTTCTCTCTCCTTTTATCAACCATCGCGTGATGTAGTCACGACGCTGAGTCATGAATTGATTAAACGATCGACTGATAAAGAGAGTTGCATTATTCTATTGCGCAACGTTGTCATCACGGTGTGCATTGATTCGTTCGTTTCGTATTCGATAAACGCTTTTCTTTAAAATTTTTTCTAACACAAATTAATCATTCTTTGATTCCCTTTTGTAATATTGAATTGACTGATTAACTCTTCTATGTAAAACTAATTCGAATGTGTACAATAATGAATAAAGTAAATTGAAATGAAAGAAAAAATCTTGTGAGAAAATAAATATAAATACAGTGTTAACACACTGCGTACTCAATGCGCATTTTTGTATAATTTCTATTCTTTTTTTCTCATTTAAGTAATTTATCTTCGTATCTCCTTCGTTAGTTTACCGATTCATTAAGATTAAAAAAAAATTACTATTTAAAAAATTCCTTTTTTCAATTATTCTGCATTCGAGGAAAAGATACGTGTGTTCTACGAATTTTTGGTATTACACATATCTGGTAAGTACGATTCCACAAAAGCGTGCCTATATACGTATAACTATCCTGCGAATTATAATAAACCGGAAATTTGTAAACTCTGACGCCGTTTTCAAGAAACTCCCGTGTGTCTCGCACATGCGTGTGTATTCGTGTTAAGCTCTCCGTGCAATGCGTCGTAAAGACCAAGTATTAGAAGTTGGAAATTTGGAAGAGATTACAACGAATTAACCGAGAAGGAAGTTTGCGTATAAGAGGGATGTTCTATTTACCCACGAAGAAACATCGTTCCATGAAAACTGTTATTTCGCAACAGCCAGTGAAATAATGTGAAACGAATTTTAATTAAATTGTCGATTCATTTGGAATGTTCGTCGTTTGATAAACAAAAGAATGTTAATTGTTCGAGTGAGTTCTTGAATTAATAATATACTTATTCTTATCTTAATTAATTTATAATTTTTTAATTCTCGAGTTCTTTTCAATATTATGAACGTAAAAAAAAAAGGATTTCACAAGAAAATCGCGTAATATTCAATTTTATAACATCCAAATTACATTTTTGGAATTTAATATTTAAATTTTGAATTTTAAACAGAATCAGAATAGAATTTTTAATAGAATGTCAATTTGGATTTGTGTTACGACGAAAAAAACTTGATATATTTTTAAAAACTATCCATTATAATGAATCCAAAGAATTGTACATTGATGTGTCCTAAAAGGAAAATTAATTTGTTTGAGAATTAGAAATTCATGATCTATATTTAATTTTTTCTATATTCATATTGCACAATAAATATTGAATTTCTTTCTCCACAAGAAACACCGTATTTATTACTATATCATACTAAATGAAGAAGTCTTGTACTAAGTAATATAATATTAGAACATTTGATTTATTTAACGTTAACAAAATCAACGACTCTAAACCTAGTTAAATATCGTATCAAAGTGCATTATCAACACTATCAACCTTAACCTCAAAATAAAATCCGTTGAAAATAATCTATATAACTATAATTCGATCAACGAAATTCATTCCCCCATGAATCAATTACTCACTACGAATCAATTTTCGAGTTCCAGACTTTACATATCCGATCTTCCACTGATGAAACGTCTCCAAACATCGAGAGAGATAATTATAACTAAATTCCGTGTGTAAAAACAAAATTGGAACAATACGAGGTGTCGTTCACGTGAAGATTTTGGCACGATTATCAATCAAGATATCCCTCGTTCTATCAGTCGGAGGCGGAGGAAAACGGACACCGGCCAGGATGGAAATTTAAATGGTAATTTTCAGCCGGATTACACGTTATGGAATTATCCTTGGCCTCACTTTCATCCCCCTGGCCATACTAATGCTGCCTTATTTTCATTGCGTTCGTTCGCCCGTATCATAAATAATACACGTTACTTCCTTTGCGAGCCGCATGCATCACATTTATAATACACCTGAGATAGGCACGTGTGTATGTGCCTTAACCCTCCCTCCCCCCCACCGTATATTCGGCCGGGTACGGCCATCATATAATTTTAACGCCACCGCCTGGCCTTTTACGTTTACGAGAGTCGTTTGGCGTTGCATTAATTCTCGCGTACGTTACGCCACGTTTCGAAACACGTGTCTGTATTCTGAAACTAGGGGCGTTCCGGTGTACGCGCCACTTCGTATTACCCCCGGGCTGAATCGATACATAAAACTATATTCTACGCCAAATTATACGCATGCATAAAATGTATTCATCAATTTC